ACCATGGCCTGTATCAGGCGCACCTTAGTCTCCAGAGAGACACCGCTGCTCTTGAGTACTTTAGAGAGGTCCCTAACTGCAGACTTTCCCATCGCAATACGTTTTTTGATTTCCTAGCTACTGGTGCCAAGAGTGTTGACCATGAAGCCGAGCAAACTGAAGCAATCTCAATCTCTTTGCCATCCATCCTGATGCTACCAATTAGTCCAGTGGTGAGAAGTTTTGTCTTCTTGACATTGAGCCTCAGTCCATATTGAAGGCTGCAGTCCTTGACCCTGTGCAGTAAGTGCATGAGGTCCTCCTCAATTTCAGCGAGCAGGATTGTGTCATCTGAATAACACAGATTGTTGATAGATCGTCCACCAATCCTAACGCCACATTTCTCCTCATAGAGCCCAGCCTCTCGGATAATCTGCTCTGCATACAGATTGAAAAGGTATGGAGATAGGGCACATCCCTGGCGTACACCCTTCCCAATTTCGAACCATGCAGTGTTGCCCTGCTCTGTTCTGACGACTGCCTCTTGGTCCAAGTATAACTTAAGTAAATTACCAAGAATAGCTTAAGTAAATAATGTAATCGAACATTAAAGGTGTATTTGATACCCCAAGCAGAGAATAGTGGGAAATATCTATCACAAAAGCCTCTACTCACATCAAATAAAAAGATGGCAATTCTTTTTGTCATTTTTTATTATTTCCTTTTATTATGTTTTTATTTTGCTCCTATGTCATCTTCTTGATTTACTTTGCTCTTCATTAATATTTCCCTTTAGTATTTGAGGATATTTAGTACTTCTGTCCTAAAGTACTTATCAATTAAACCCATTAACTGGGCCTCCTCTGTGATACTAAGATAGTTTTTAGCACTTTATTTTGTTATATCTCTTTTCTTATTTATTTATATGACTTTTATTTTTTTTTCTTCAAAATCATCTTCATTATCCTAACAATGATTCTGAAAATCTGATTCTTCCTATTCTCCAAGGTTTGCTAGAGATTCTTTATCTCAGAATTTGTTGAGTACTGTATAATCAGACCAACCCATAGCTGAACCTCCAGTGGGCTTTCAGAGGCAGTTAATCACACAGGAAGAAACTGTCTGTCCTTCTTCTGCAGAGTGGCTAGTGCATTTTAACCATGTGCCTTTGGAATTGCAGCACAGCTTCTTACCACTAGACCTCCAGAGCTCCCTATGTTACTGTTATTGTTGTTTACTGTGGAGTCAGAACCAACCCACAGCTGACCCTCCAGTGAGGTTTCAAAGGTAGTTAATCGCACAGGAAGAAATTGTCCATCCTTTTCCCGCGGAGCAGCGGATGAAACTTGAACCTCGTGCCTTTGGGATTGCAGTTC